TCAATTGTATATGCTTTGTCCTGGAATGAAAAGACGGATTCTTCGCTAGATGGATAGCACTTTGACTGTCGCAATACAATATATTGTTTTCTTGTTTCTTGCCTAACTCTTCCAAGAAACTTTGGAGCCAAACCATCTCCTTGCTGGCTTCCGTAACAGCGACATATTCTGCTTCAGTTGTGGAGAGAGCAACTATCTTCTGTAGTTGAGAAACCCAACTCACTGCAGTTCCTCCTAGAGTATAGACATACCCTGTAGTGCTTCTTCTGATGTCGACATTTCCGGCTAAGTCAGCATCTACATAGCCTGTCAGTGTCGTATCTCCACCTTTGAAACAAAGTGCTTTGTTTATGGTACCCCGCAGATATCTGAGGATCCATTTAACTGCTTCCCAGTGTACATTGCCCGAATTATTCATGTACCTGCTAACAGCTCCCACTGCATGAGCAATATCTGGTCTGGTACAAACCATGGCATATATCAGACTTCTAATTGCTGAGGCATACGGTACCTTCACCATGTGTGCACATTCTTCCTCCGTCTTTGGGGATTGGTCTTTAGAGAGTCTGAAATGAACAGTTAAAGGTGTACTTACTGGTTTAGCATCTTGCATGTTGAACCTGGAGAGTACTTTGTTGATGTACTCAGCCTGTGATAACATCAAAGTCCCCGACTTTGTGTCTCTCTTGATCCTCATCCCAAGAATATGCTTTGCAGCGCCCATATCTTTCATTGCAAACTGCTTCGATAATTTTTGCTTCAAGTTTATGATCTCTTGCATGTTTGAGCCTGCAACGAGCATGTCATCAACGTACAACAATAAAATAATGAAGCTATTATCGAACCTCTTGATGTAGCAACAATGATCTGCTTGGCATCTGGTAAAACCACTGCTACCAATGAAACTATCAAACTTTTTGTACCACTTTCTAGGAGCTTGTTTTAGACCATACAAGCTCTTTTTCAACCTGCATACCAGGTTTTTCTTGCCTGCCTCTATGAAGCTTTCTGCTGCCTCATATAGATTTCTTCCTCCAAATCACCATGAAGGAAAGCTTTCTTTACATCTAACTGCTCAAGATGTAGATTTTCTGCAGCTACAATTTTCAACACCAGTCTGATGGTAAACAGTTTCACGACTGGAGAGAAAATTTCATTGTAGTCAATACCTTCTTTTTGCTGAAAACCTTTGACAACCAATCTCGCTTTGTAACGTTTGCTCCCATCGTGTTCTTCTGTGATCCTGTAAATCCACTTGTTTTGAAGCGCTTTCTTGCCTGGTGGTAATTCAGCTAATTCCCACGTCTGATTTGACATAAGTGAGTCCATCTCATCTTTCATGGAAGACTCCCACTTGACTGAATCCTCCACTTGCATTGCTTCATCATAGCACTCTGGTTCACCATTGTCAGTCAGCAACAAGTAGTGCAAAGAAGGAGAATACCGTTGGGTTGGTTTAGGAATTCTGGAGGAGCGTCTTAGTTCCGGTGTGCCTGGTTCTTCTTGAACTGCTTCAGGACTAATCTGAACATCATTTCCAGAATTCTCCTCGAACTCAGCAAATTCCTTTGTTTCAGCTTTGGTATTGGAGCTGATTGATTCTACAATTAACCTGTCTTTGTACATCTCATTCTCATTGAAAATGACATCTCTGCTTCTGATGATCTTCCGATTTTCATAGTCCCAAAACCGGTAACCGAACTCATCACCGCCGTAACCAACAAAGGCACATTTGTTGGACTTAGCATCAAGTTTACTTCTTTCAGCAGAGTCTATGTGTACATAAGAAATACAACCAAACACTCTTAAGTGTGAAAGGTTTATTTCTTTCTTTCTCCAAACTTCCTCTGGTATTCTGCCATCCAAAGGAACTGAGGGCCCACGGTTGATCAGGTAAGCTGCAGTGTTGATAGCTTCAGCCCATAGATATTTGGGCAATCCAGTATGTATCCTCATGCTTCTGGCACGTTCATTTAGAGTTATGTTCATGCGCTCTGCTACGCCATTCTGATGCGGTGTCATGTGAACTGTTATCTCCATCTTGATCCCATTGTTTGCGCAGAAGTCTTTGAATCTCCTATTTCTGTACTCTCCTCCATTGTCAGACCTCAACCGCTTGACTTTCAGACCAGTCTCATTTTCCACCATGGCCTTCCATTTTTTGAAGGTATCAAAGACTTCAGATTTCTTCTTCAGAAAATAAACCCACACCTTCCTTGTAGAATCATCGATGAAGGTGACATAATATAGTGAACCTGCAAGAGATGGAACTGGAGATGGTCCCCATACATCAGTATAAACCAACTCTAACTTTTCAGCCTTGGGTGTCTTACCAATCTTTGCAAAGCTGACTTTCTTTTGTTTGCCAAAGATCCAATCCTCGCATAGTCCGACATCTACATTCTTTAGATCCGGCAACTTCTTCTTTGACAAAAGTGTCTTCATCCCTTTCTCGCTCATATGGCCAAGCCTTTGGTGCCATAGGTTTGATTTTCTATCAGCATCTGCTACTGCAATGATATTCTCTAAATTTGAGGTTATATAGAGAGTACCAGTTTTCTTACCACGAGCAATGACGAGTGCTCCTTTAGTAATCTTCCATTCACAGCCTGAAAAGGTTGTGCTAAATCATTCACCATCAAGCTGTCCTACAGAAATCAAATTTCTTTTGAGGCCAGGAATATGTCTCACTCCTTTCAGCGTCCAGGTAGTCTGGTTTGGCAACTTTAATCGGATGTCTCCTTTTTCGACGATCTTCAAGGTTTCATCATTGGCTAGATGAACCTTCCCAAAATCACCACTGACATAGTTTTCCATGATTTCTCGGCATGGAGTGGAGTGGAAAGATGCCCCTGAATCCAAGATCCATAATTGAATCGGACTGTTGACGCTTAGAATCATGGCGTCACCTGTCTCCTCTGTCACGTTGGCAGAATCCTGTGCACCGGTATTTTTCTTCAGTGCTCGGCAATCTCTTTTAAAGTGACCCTTCTTGCCACATTTATAACAGGTAAAAATCTTTATTTCCCGTTATTGATTTTCCCCTTCTGGATTTTGATCTGCCACGATTTGAATTTCTTTCTGAAGTTCTCCCTCTAGACTCCGTGTGCAAGGCTGAGGAGGTTGATGCTTCACTCGATTCTCTTCGTCGAATTTCTTCACTCAATACCAGATCTCGAACATCGTCGAATTTTAATTTGTTGTTTCCCGATGAGCTGCTGACTGCTGTAACAATAGCATTCCAACTGTCTGGTAGAGATGATAAGAGAATTAAAGCTCGAACTTCATCATCGAATTCAATTTCTACGGAACACAACTATGTTGTGATAGTGTTGAGTTCATTTAGGTGTTGAGCCATTGATGCCCCTTCCGCCATCCGCAAATTGAATAATCGCCTCATCAAGTGAACTTTGTTTGAGGCTGATGGCTTCTCATACATACTGGAGAGAGCCGCCATAAGACCCACCGTGGTCTTTTCCTTTGCTATGTTGAAAGCAACATTGCAGGATAACGTCAGTTGGATAACTCCGAGGGCTTGTCTGTCGAGAAGATCCCAGTCTTCATTCTTCATCCCCTCTGGTTGTTTTCCTGAGAGGGGTTGATATAGATTTTTCTGGTATAGAAAATCTTCAATTTGCATCTTCCAAAGTCCGCACCATCGAACTTTTCAATTTTCATCTTCCCTTCGTCTGCAGCCATCGCTCCCACTCGAATCTGGCTTCTTCGGATCGTTTCTGACAATTTGTGCGAACCACCGTGTATTATAACACCTCCGTCGATAAATTCGTATCGTCGATCGAATTTCACTATTCACGAAATTCACTATTCATGTGAATAGTACCCCCGAATAGTAACCTCTCAAAAAATTGACAGATGTCACAACCAAAAGCTCTGATGCCAGTTGTTGGGAAATAAACCGAGTACAAGTAATTTCCTTATAACCAGATTAGTAAGAATGCGAAATAAAAGCGGAAAAATAATACCCGAAAATTGATAACGGAGTTCAGCCAATTGTGCTTACGTCTCCGGGCTGCTGTAGATCTTTTACTAAGAGAGAAAATTTACAGGTGTTTATAAAACACTTACTACTCACAAGAAAGCTCTCTAATATAGGAAGAAAGAAATGTTTTGGGATAATTTTGAAGTTAAATGAGCCAGGGTATTTATAGTTGAAGCTTAGGGACTAATCTTGTAATTAACCCTATTTTTATTTTAATAAACAATTGCCAGCCCATTGAAATTATGCACATTCGGTGCCAACCCATTGAAATTATGCATATTCGGTGCGTGCATCCTTGACTTTAACAGTATGTCAATGTTCCGGAGCATGAACGAGGAAGGTAATGGAAGATGAGTTATGGTTCTGTTTTTATTTACTTATTTTTAATGTGTTAATCTGTGCTTCATTGATATGGGCTCGTTGGTCTTGCACCGGCCGATTTAGACTGCGTAATAAAGGGGTAAGGACACATGCATCCCCCTATGAACATTTACTGCCAAGGCTTCAGTATTTGCGTATGATCGATATATATACATACATATTTTCAGTTACTAGTAAAGGCACTCGGGAAGCTAAGGGATGAAGCTGATCAAATTCATACCTACCAAGTGAGCAGCAATTCCCAACTTGAGGTAATTGGCAATGATTAACTTTCTGTTTCTTTGTCTTTATTATCAAGAAAATGTCCCATTTCAATTAGAAATATGTTTAGTAGTTTCAGCAAGAGATTGTTAAATGCCAGTCCCAGATTGCGGATATGCGGAAAAGACGAAGGTAAACTATATTGATTATAGCATCTGTCTGAAGGAATACCGTTGAATTAAATTAAACATGAAACTTGTTGCAGCATCTTCGAAGGTGAACCATCCGAAATCACGACGTTGAGTCAGGCTTCCACGAGCAGATCCTAGAGGAGACAATGAAACAAGTTCGACTGCGCAAGGTAAATAGATGTCTTTGATCTTTTGCATATATACACTAGACATTTCTTTAGCCATTGATGCATGAGTTACTGGAATTCATTATGATTGGAACATCAAGTTTTACAGGGGAAAATACAGTAGTTCTCCTGGTCCACCACCAATTACACAGGTACTCACCATGATATTTCTAAATTTTGCATGAATCGAAGCAATTAGCTTGAGATTATTGTTATTTCTAGGTACATTTTTCCAGCCCCAGAGGCTGCAGATGCAAGTGGTTTCATTACAGGAAGTACTTCGAGCAGTGTCTTGGATTGGATACCCCAAAAAGATCCACAAGTTCAGATCTTGAACTTTTTGGATTCAAACGGTCTTCTTCCTCAAAGGTACATATTTTAATAGTCATATGATTATTTGGTTTTGCTTAATTTGATGGAAAACTTGCTTCAATTAACTATTTGCAGAGATCAATGCCAATCTGTTGCAGAAAATCTGTTACCACCGCAGCCAATGACTCTCCTTGACGGGGAAGAAACAATAAATGTTGGCGATCAGCTGAGCCCCACCAGAAGTGGTTTAGAGAACGACAACAGTATTCAACTTCCTGAGTTCGGACTAGTTATTGATGTCAACTTGTACCCTTGGATTGAACTTTACCCTGCAGGTATTAGTGGACTTTAGAGATAAGATTTTAATGCAAGACCAACTTATGAGCTAAGGTTCATATAAAATATTGATCACTAGCGGACACTTGGATCCATGAATTTGAAAATGGAAATGTTGTGGTGGCAGGGAATGAACATTTTCCGGACCGGCAGCCAGGGGCAGGAAGAGCACTCCTCGAACTATATTTGTCTCAGTTTACACAATCCAATGTGTCGACAAGGAATCCGTAGTGTATTATATATTGAAAATCAAACAAATCCACCAAAAATTTTTAGTCAAAAAGGGGGGAGATTTGGTTGAAAATTAAATGGGTAAATTACAAACTTTAGTTACTTAACTTTAAGGTATTTACAAGATTAGTCCTTAAGCTTCAACTATAAATACCATAACCCATTTAGCTTCAAAACCATCCCAAATCATTCTAGCTTTCTCCCAATACTAGAGAATCTAGAGAGTTTTCTTGAGAGTTATTTTCTCTTTTTTATCAAGAGAGAATTGTCATTGTTTTCTCCTTGGTAGATCGAGAGAAGTTGTAATTCCTATTTTCTCATAGTGAAATTCTTCTATCGTTGCCCGTGGTTTTTACCCTATATTATTTAGGGGTTTTTCACATAAATTTTGTGTCTTCTTTATCTTTATTTTTATTTTCTCAAATTATCAGTTGCGATTTTACTCTATCCGATAGCCGTCTTCCACAACAATTGGCATCAGAGCCAGATTTAAATGTGTAAATATCTACTTATTGTCTTTGTAGTTGCCACCAAAAGGTGGATCCTCCAACATAAGAAAGTAATAAGGTATTACCCATTCTTTGAAGGTTATAGAGAATTATTCACTATAGTGAAATAGTAGGATCTAACCGTAATAGAAGTTATGACAACGAAATTTGATATTGAAAAGTTCAATGGGAGAAATTTCTCATTATGGAAATTGAAGATGAAAGTCCTCCTGAGGAAAGACGGTTGTCTAGCAGCTATCAGTGAAAGGCCGGTAGATTTCACAGATGAAAAACAAATGGATCGAAATAGACGGGAATGCTATGGCAAACTTTCATCTAGCATTAGCAGATGAAGTATTGTCAAGCATCGAGGAGAAGAAGACAGCTAAGGAGATACGATATCATCTCACCAAATTGTACGAGGCCACATCGTTGCACAATAAAATTTTCCTTAAGAGGAAATTGTACACTCTCCGGATGCCATAATCTACTTCAGTGACGGAGCACTTAAACACGCTGAACACTTTATTTTCTTAGCTTACATCTTTAAGATGTACAATAGGAGAACAAGAACGTGCTGAACTTCTACTTCAAAGTCTAACTGATTCGTATGATCAACTCATCATCAACTTGATAAACAGTAATGTCATCAGTCTAGTCTTTGATGACGTTGCAGTTGCTGTTCTACAAGAAGAAAATCGGTGCAAGAAAAAGGAAGACAGACAAGTAAATCTGCATCAAGTAGAAGCGTTGACAACGATGAGAGGGAGATCAACAAAACGTGGCCAAAGCAGCAGTCACAAACATGGTAGATCAAAGTCGAGAATAAAAAGAAAACTAAAGCGCTACAACTGTGTAAAGAAGGGTCACTTGAAGAATGATTGTTGGAGTCTAAATAAAAAATCCAATCCAGAAGGCAATACCGCAAACACTTCAGATGATGGAAATGCTTTATGTTGTGAGGCGTCAACCACCGTAGAAGGTAGAAAAAGATTTGCAGATATATGGCTCATTGACTCAGGAGCAAAATATCACATGACCTCAAAAAGAAAATGGTTCCATTATTATGAGTCTGTCTCAGGAGGATTTGTGTATAGTTACAATGATCATGCCTTAGAGATCGTTGGCGTGAGAACCATCAAATTGAAGAAGTATGATGGAATAATTAAAGTTGTTTGAGATGTGCGGCATGTGAGAGGCCTGAAGAAAAATTTATTATCTTACGGATTGTTGGATAATAATGCAAGAAAGATTGAATCACAGAAAGGAATCATGAAGGTGTTCCGTGGAGCGCTTGTGGTGCTGAAAAGCGAAAAGATAGCAGCAAACTTGTACATGCTGAAGGGAGAAACTTTGCTAGAAGCAGAATAATTTGTTGCCTCATGTAGTTCAGATTCTGCAATGCTATGGCATCAGAAACTTCGACACATGTCCTTGTGGAGAAAAAGTTACTTCCAGGCTTAACAAAGGTATCACTTACATTGTGTGAGCATTGCATAACAAGTAAGCAGTACCGATTGAAATTCAACACGTCAAATTCTAGAGGAAAAAATATTTAAGAATTGGTTCATTCTGATGTATGGCACGTACCAGTTACATCCCTAGACGGAGCAAATTTTGTCTCATTTATTGATGACTACTGCAGTAGATGTTGGGTGTTGGTGGGGTTCGAAATAAAAAAACACAAAGCAAGTTTCATCCGTTCCTTACAACCCAATAACAAAATATGAAAGCAAAGAACTAAAGGGAAGAGAGAAAGCCTTCGACGTGCATTGCCCAATGCTTTCCTCGGCCACCAAGAACTGCTCCCAGCGACTTGGCTCCTCTCGGACACTCAGAACGCCACTCCCTCAGGCTTGTCAAGGAGAAATACCACTGCACGTAGGATTGACGGAGAAAGATGAGACATTCTCTCTCTAATTTATTAAGCTCAAATTTGGGTGGAACCCAAGTCTTCTTCAATGTGGCTTCATCCTCTATTTATAGGGGAAAATAAATCCTAGGACTTGGTGTTGACTTTCCCTGGAAACCCCAAAACCATGGTTAACTTGCTTAAGAGTCGGACATGACAGACTATAATACAACATGGGTAGCTGGCTGAGTGACTGGCATAATCCCGTTGCAGGCTCCCAAGGGCACACAGGATCTACAGGGTCAGTTGGCGTCATCAGCAGGACTGGCGATTGCAGCGTTGATGCCTCCAGGCGGATCTTCGAGGTGGATTTCTCGGGCAGAGCTCTCAGGAAGTCGGAGATAGTTGGCTTCAAAAATATCTTCCACACTTAAAGCGCTTTCGAAATGCCAGTAGAACTTGGCAATTGCATTTTTCTCAGCAATCTCCTTATGTTACAACATTTCCTTTCCTCTTTTCTCTTGCTTTCAATTCCTGCACATCATCAGACAAGCACCTTTCCCATAAGGCAGCACCGCTTTAAAAATAAAATGCCGCGACAAACTGAATTCCACCACATGTAACTAAATGCATCTACATGGTCCTAAATGAGCTATTAGACACTCAATAACTTAAGTGAAAATGTCCCAAAATGTGACCTTTTACGGAGTTATCACACCCCCAAACTTAAGCTATTGTTTGCCCTCAAGTAATGGATAGTAATAAGCAAAACAAAAATACCATGACAAGTTCAGAAGCAAAATAGTCTTATGGGATAAAATTTTAGCCCCCATCACATATGGTTTTAACATGCTAGACTGGTTCGAGAAATCTAGTAATATTCCCTAGGGCAAGATTCTTTGTGTGGGTTCGTGCGTGCTTGTATACAGTCCATGCTTAATAAACTTAAAATTTTTCTAAGCAAGCTTTCTTAATTTGCCATGACATTTACAAACTTTTTACTCCCAACTTACTTTCTTTTCTTTACTTCTGCTACGAGAGGAGTCAGCCTATCAATCTACCCTCTCACACTCTAGATGAAAGGGAGCATACATTCCACCCCCAAGCTAGTCAGGTAGAGTCACCCCGTGACTACTTTTATTCACTCATATGCCCTGGCATAGCGGAGTGTTCCTCTATAGATATGCCGAGGCATTTATTCACAACTTTATCATAATTTTTCATTTTTTTATAAAAGAAACCAGGAGTTTTCATCATTCAAAGTTTTATGCCACGTCATTTAAGAATTCTCTTATAAAAAATTCCTAAATTTCTCAAGTATGGAAAACATACAATCGTGTTTTCAAATATTTCAAAGAAACAAGTCCTAGAGTTGGTTCTATCATCCTCAACCAGTCATGTACATTATATCCTAGCCATCAAGATTCATCATCATCGAGCATCCTTAACTAATTCCAGAAAACTATTCAAACACCTACTAATATCATGGCATATTTATTTTGCTAATACTATTATGCAATGATGTGAGAACCCTACTTCCCCCAAACTTGAGAGAAGCATTATCCTCAATGCTTACTAAGACTAAGGAACAAGAAACTACATGCTATGAATATAAAGCAATGCAAGGTACCTTGACTCTAGGCGGGTGGTGATGTAGCGGTCGTGCCCCGAGGGCTCTTTCTCAGTTTGGCTGGGCTGGAGTGTTCAGAGTCAGAAGCGGGTGCGGTCGTAGGAGTACTGGACCTTCTGGGACAATGGAGAGCTGGGGCTCCTCACGCTTAGATGCCTTCTTCAGGCGGCATCGGCTCCTACGTAAAGGAGCTTGTCGTGGCATCTCGGATTGGGATTCCTCGGTTGACTTGGTGGGCTACGGTACTTCGGGGTGCTCTTCTTCCATTGGTGCGGCAGGTTACGACATATCAGGATGTTCTGACGCCAATGGTTCAACAAATTGTGGGCATTCTGGCGATGAGTGAGTTGGAGGTTCGCTTCTCTATTTACATCGGGTGACACAACATAGATGGGATCAGGGTCAGTGGGCTCTTCTGCTTCAGTAGGCTGGGGACTTTCTACACTGGGTGATTTATGAGCTTCGGCAGTGGCAGGACGAGGTACTTCTGCAGATGCCTCGGCATCCTCATTTGGTGGCACTAGTGTTGCAGAGAATTCTGGGACGGTAAAGTTCGTATGCGGGAGAAACTCTAAGAAGACGTTGGTGAAAATATCATCCCCGCGCTTAGCATAGGCAAAATATGTCATCAGTTTATCGGACAGCTGCCCGACATGCTCTTGAATGCGCTGGATTGCCTACTCCATGGCATCTGAGTTTGCCCTGGCATGTGGAGATGGTGAAACACGAGATGTGGTCACCTCCTTTTCTTTTCCTTTTACGTCCTTCAGACCCAACAACATAAGGATTTTTTCCATGGTAATTCCAACAATACCCGGTAAAATCTCATCAAACTGTTATTCAGGAACCTTCTTTTTACGACATAAGGCAATGATGAGATTCGAAAATACCAGGGCACTTGCAATTCGTTTTAGGCATAAATGGGCTTGTTCTACAATGATTTTCCCTACATCAATGGGGCGCCCGAATATGATTGAGTGCAGTAAAAGCATCCGCTGGTAAGACACGGTGGTATTGTGAGAAGTGGGCA